GAGTGGCTTCCCCAGCCAGGCTTGAGCGCAACATTAGAGCAAATGTTGGGCCGGGTCCTTGCAGGGACTGGGGTTCAGAGTGTTTGAGTCTGTGTGCTCAGGGACTGTCAGCTTTGGACCTGTGATTCAAGTCACAGGGTGTGGTAAGTGGCAAGGCTCCAAGCTCCCCTGTACCCTGTCCAGTGATAAAGACTTGCCCAGACGACTACTCAAGAGTCTGGAGGAAGTATGGGCAGGAGAGAGGAGAACCAGCTAGGGAGGCAGGTATCTGCTGGTAGCTCATGGGGGAGAGCAGAGGAAAGCCAGAGCCAGAGGGGCACAAGGCCCTTAGGAGGCTAAGGGGAAGCAGGACCCCTGTTTACAAGACAAGGTATGAGTGGAAACTCAAACCACGTTTCCACAGTTCCTGCCTGCCCTGTCCCAGCAGCTGTACATAGCTGACACACATGGCTTCCTGAAGCCATGTCTAAGGCTCAGAGGTAAAAGGCTCAGGGGCCCAAAGGCATTAAAAAGCCTACCTCAGGGAAATCTCAAGTGATTTCCATTGTGAGCCACTGCAGTCCACTAAGACCCCACCATGGGCTAGCCTCAATCTGGACGCCGGATACAGATGGGTAAAACACCTCTTTGCCCTTTGGAGAGGCCTCTGGAGTGGACAGGGGCCTGGATCCTGACCCCTGGTAGGTCATCAGGGCCTGAGACTTGCATACTCCCACTCAGAGTACCTCCCGTAAGCATGTCTGGAAGGGCCAGCGAGTACCTCAAGTCTGAAAGAGGAGGCTCTTGTCACCTGGATGTCTGTCTGTCTTCTTTCCCTCTTATTCTCCCTCCCTCTTCCGTTTTCTCCTCCTCACACTCCTCTGCCTCTTTCTACCCCTCACCTTTCCTGTTGTTCCCTACCGCTGACCCCTCATGGGGTCCTCTGTGCTTTGTCTTAGCAGAGCATCTTGACTGTGCCCCAGCCATCCTGGCTAACCCTACAGCCACTCTTGCTAAGTCTCCTGTCCACAGCTCCTCAGCAATTCCACAGAAGCCCAGAGCCCTGCGGTGGGGGCTTGTTCCAGTGGGGAAGTACAGAAAGCTCTGGCTTCCTCAGCTGATGTTTTCCTGCCTGGACAGCCAAGTGTGTGTGCTGACTCAGTTGTCAGTGCCTGCTGGGGGTGGGGGAAGGGTAAACACAGCCCTCATACAGGCCTCCGAGGGTGCAGCCCACTGCCCATTGTGGAAGTAGACGTCTTGGGCCACCCCTTCTCTAGAGCCTGCTGCCTACCCTGCAGAGGGCTGGTGAGGCTGGCATCTGAGCTATGCGCTGGGTAAGGTGGGTGTTGACTCTGTGTTCATAGGCTCAGTGACTACTGGAGAGATGGTCCAGACACAAGGAATGGGGGAGGCTCAGAGGCCCTGCAGGCAGAGGTACAGGAGATGGGTGACAGTAAGACCCTCTCCAAGTTGTACATCTGCCTCCACTCCAGCCCTCTGTGTTCACTCCAGGATGGGTGTGTGATGCCGTGTGTCACTCTTGCGTCCCCACCGAACAGGCCAAACCCCTTTTACATCTGCATGCAGGGGAAGCAGGTAGTCTGAACCTTTTTTTCAGGGGTAGAAGCAGAGGTTCAGGAAAGTAAGTCCCAGGGGCTGGCGTGGCTCAGTTGGTAGAGTTTGCCTAGGGTGCCTTGGACTCTTAGTTCCGTCCCTAGCACCATTCATGCCAGGTGTGATAGGTAGTACATGGCTGAAATCCCAGCACACAGGAAACAAAGCAGGAGGATCAGAGGGTCAAGGCCATCCTTGAACAGCAGGATTCACCTCATAAGAAACTGTCTTTTTGTTTTGTTTCTTTTTGGTTTGGGTTTTTTTGTTTTTTGAGATAAGGATTCTCTGTGTAGCCCTGGCTATCCTGGAACTCGATTTGTAGTCCAGGCTGGCCTCAGACTCACAGAGATCCATCGTTCTCCGCCTCCTGAATACTGAGATTAAAAGCAAGCAGCACGAGAAAGGGCAGAAGGAGCAGGCTATGAGCCTGTCTGAACCCCTGTGGATGGCTGGGCTGTGCAGGAGGGCTCTGGGAAGGCTGCCTGCACCAAGCAGCCTTGCAGCTGCACCTCTCCTCCTTCAGTCTGGGGAGGGTACAGTGGAGCTGCCTGAGCCTGCTGACTGCTGCCATGTGGGATCCCTGATTACAGTCCCCTCCCTCCACATAATCACCTAGCTGGTGCCCACACCCAGTCTCTGTCTTAGGAGCCCTGGCCCACAGAGTTTGCCAGCCATATGGACGGGTAAGTGAGTCTCTTCCCCAGACCTCACAGTGTACGTTGTTTTGCTGCTGCTTAGGTTTGGTGCCTGGGCTATAAAATGCCCCAACTAGACCGGGCCTTGCTTGCTTGGGTTATCTCGCTTCCTTACCCTGCAAAAATGGTTTCTGCTGGTTTTGTGGCACGGCTGATAGCACCGGCGGTCTCGATCAGCCCTTGGAAACAAGGGGTCATGGGGTCGAGGCAAGTGTATTTTCACCAAGGATAACTGCAGAAGCTCTGCCTGAAGTCATACATACGTTGGGTTCCGATGGCCCAGCTGTCCCTCAGAGAGAGCAGGACTGCTACGTCTTTGTCACAGCGTGTTACTTGATGGTTCGCTCTCTTGACGGCAAGGAGGCACTACACCCATCTGTATCTTGTGTCCAGACTGAGGCTAGCCCATGGTGGGGTCTTGGTAGACTTCAGTGGCTCAGGATGGAAGTCACTTGACTTGGGCTTCATCTGAGGTAGGCTCCTCAATGTCTTTGGGCCCCTGAGCCTTACCTCTGTGCCTTACACTGTGGTTTCAGGAAGCCCTGTGTATCAGCTCTTGTCCAGCTCCTGGGACCAGGCAGGAGGACCTGTCATGTGCTGTGCCGTTGACCCTGAAGATGCTGGGCACCACTTCAATCTACTCAGAATCAGGACATTCAGTGGCCAGTTACTTCTTTCCCATACTGTCATAACATGTGCAGGACGTTGAGCTGCAGAGTCATAGGGTCTTGAGGGGCCACTGGAGCTAGGCCACTATCTCTGTGTGACCAGGGTGAGTGCTGCCCACCCCCACCTGAGCCCCCTGCTCCTGCTTAGGTTTGCAGATTGGATGAGATGGATTGGGCAGTGAGTACATTCCCTTTGTCCCTTATTCTGCCCTCTGATAGACTGCATTCCAAGAACTTAGTAACCTTTCTGGGCCAGTCTATAGGAACCTCAGACCTGTCCCACATCCCAAGGGACATCTTTGTGCATACCCTCTTGCTGTGTGAGGAGAGGATACTTCACTTCTTGGTCAAAGACCTCCTAGAGTTCACCACAGGTGTCAGCAAGTCGGGACTGGCTTCTTCCTGGATATCCATGATAGTCCACTTTACAGACAGTGCTAACGGCCCAGAGTGGCCAAGCTCCTTGTCAGAAGTCACACAACTCTGAGTAATGAGATCATAGTTAATGTCTCTCTCGATCCAGAATCCACATTATGAACTGGTTTTCTGGAGAGAGGGAGGTCCTTAAAGGGTAGCTCCTTCCAGAAAAGTCTGCTGGGAATCTAGGTCCTGACAAGATGCTCTAGAATCTGAGACTTCTGTATGGTCTATCCTGGAGTCTGCCCTTAAGTGTCCCTTAGACTTTCTGTCTGATTTTGCAAATAAGCTACAGTTAGTTTGAGATGGGGGCAGAGCCCTGGGCTAGATACTTCAGGCCGAGCCCAGCTCCGTTTGTCCATCCCAGTGCAAAGAGCACATGTGGACACTTCTCCCCATACACCAGGATATGAAACCGTCCAGAGCACTGGCTGCTTTAGCCAGCACCCCAGCCCCAGCACACCCCTCAACATGCACCTCCCCAGAATACAAACAAGCCTGGAAGGGCTGAATCTGGGCCTCAAGTCTCCTCGCTGGGAGAGGGAGATGGAGACTGAACTGGGGTAACTGGGGTATTCCTAGCACAGTGTGTACTTGTGTGGTTGCTGCAGAATCCAGCACACTGGGGCGCTTAGGGGCTGTGGGTGAGCTTCCTTTGGGGTACGAGGCTAGGTGGAGAGGCTGGCTCTAGAGACTGTGCCTCTTCACTCCTTACAAGGTGGCCTCTTCTTCAGTCAAGGGTCCTCCAATCACACTGCTCAGGTGCAAATTGCAAGAAGGGCCATCCTCTATAGGGCTCACCTGAAGAGACCCCCTGGCCAGGACTGGAGGATCTGTTCTCCTTCCCTGACAGGAAGCCAGGAGTCACACCTCAAGAGCAGGTCAGGATGGAACAGGTCTGGCAGTAGACAGGATTGGGGAAGGTTGGGTAGCATGAGGTGAGGAAGGAATACTGGGTTAGATGCAGGGGTGGCTTTGGGCAAGTCACTGTACCTCTGGGCCTCAGTTTCTCTGTATGCTTTGAATAGTGCTTTGTCTAGAAGCTTGTAATGGGGATTCAATGAGAAACTGTTGGTGGTGGTAGATGACAGGCTAAAGCCACAGTGTTTAGGTGCCAGAGAGTGGGAACCTGTTGATTCAGTTCATGAGGTCATGTGATTGGTCTTGGAAATGTGAGATACCTCATCTTAGTCCCCAGCAATTCAGTGGGACAGGGTCCCACGAGCACCACTTTGCTGGAGGTGAGGCTTGTTAGGACTCAGAGATGATAACTCTCTTGTACAAGGTCACACCACAGCTAGAAGGCAGAGCAGGACTCTCAAGAGGTCTTCCAGGGAACCTGAACTCCTAGGCTGCATTATGGCCCCATGCTTCTCCTGTTGCCAGAGCTGCAAGTGTTTTGTTTTGTTTTGCTTTCTCTTTCTTCTGTGATAACAATATCAACAACAACTGAAAGTACAATCAGAGATTGAAAAATAAGATAGTGTGAGGTCAAAAAGTCAGCAGTCTCCAAGTTAGCTGTCACAGATGGTTAAAACACACAGGTAAATACAAACAGGGCCACCAGGACCAGCCTCTTTATGATCGATCAGGGCAAAGTCCAGAGGCTGGAGATCCGTGTCAGATGCCAGCCTGCTGTGGTCTCCAGAGCCGCCTCCTCTCCACATTCTGCCATGTGTGACAGCCACTCTCACCAGGCATGGCTGCCAGACTTCCTAGGTGCCTCCTGCCTCAAGGTAACCCTTATGGCCAGGCCTCAGCTGGGAGCAGAGGCTCTGCTGTGGGGATGACAGACGTCCCCCTCCTCAGGGGCCAGCCTTCCCCTATCCATCCTGAGAGTTGAGATCCTGGGTCCTGGCTGCACTATTAGCAGCTCATTAGGATCTCTGGCCATGGAGGTCAAGTGCCCACAACCTTTAATGCTCCAGGGAAGTTCCATTGTGTAGCCCAAATGGGCCCAAACCCAGTTCCAGGGGCTTTGGGCGATGGGGAAGATAGACACTCAGCCTGATTGTGGGCTTTCCAGGGATGGCAGCCTTTGGAAACTGGGTGGAAGCGTGCCTTCCAGAATTTTAGAAATTTATTATTAATTAATTCATTTTAAAGTTTGTGCCCACATTTGCTTGTTTCTATTGTGTGTGCGTGCACCACTGCATGTATAGAGGTGCGAGGACAACTTTCAGGAATCAGTTTTTTCCTTCTACCATATGGGGCCTGGAGCAGAACTCGGGTTCTCAAGCTTGGCATCAGGTTCTGCACCCACTGAATAATCTCATTTGACATTATTTTATTTACTACTTTGTGAAGATTTATTTTATATTTCATTATATGTCTCTGTGTGGGTAAGTGCATGCAAGTGCCTGGGTCCAAAAAGAACAGAGGGCGGTAGGTCCCCTGGGGCTCCAGCTGTGGGCCAGGCCGTTTGTGAGCCACCCTATAGAGGTGTTGGGAACCTTGTCCTCTGCAACAGCAGCACACGATCTTAACCACTGGGCATAGCAGACCCTACATATTTATGTTTGAGACAAGGGTCCCACTGGGTACTCCTGGCTGGATAGTTTGCTACGTCGAGCAGGATTGCTTCAGTCTCCTGGATCTTCCTGCCTCTGCCAAGAGTTTTGGGTTTACGGGAGTCAGCCACCTGACTTCTTCGTGCCAGATTCTTCCTAGGAAGAGAATCTATGCTTTTCCCAGCTTCTCAGACTGAAAGGAGAGTCAAAGCTAATCTGGGTGGGAGTCCGCTAACTCCCATTGCAATAACCCAGCTTCTCCTCCCTCTCCCTCCTTCTCTTCCTCCTTTCTCTTTCTTCCTCCTTTTCCTCCTCCTTCTTCCTCCTCCTCCTCCTCATTCTTTTTGTGTGTTTGTTTTGGTTTGTTTGGGTTTTTTTTTTTTTGTTCTTGTTGTTTTTCAGGGTTTCCTTTAACTCAGGCTGGCCTTAAATTTCCTATGTAACTTGAGGCTGGCCTTGAACTTCTAATCCTTCGCGCTCAGCGTCCCAAGTGTTGGGGTTAAAAGCTTGTGCCCATGCTGGGCTCAGTGCTGTCATTTCTGGTGTTCAGTGGCTTCCTCTACAGAATGGAAATTGATCTGTGTCTCTAATGAATTGGTCTGAGCTCTCCAGACACCCAGTTCTTAACCTTCTTCTTACGCTCATGTGCCAGGAGCTCACTCATTGTGGGCATTTTTAGAGTTGTAGGCAGAAGGAGATAAGTTCATGATGGCCCTGAAGGACTCCGAAGTCTAGGGAAGACCTGAAGGGAAGCTGCAGTGTACCAAAGTGTAGAACTTGGCTATTCCAGAGTCACATAGGGGCCCAAGTTCACCTTTAGACCTTGGCACTCAGAGACATTAAATGAAAGAGGATTAGAGATGGTGCAAATAGGGCACTGCTGGGCTTAGGCATTGGTGATGGCTGGCTATAGTGTGCACTAGAAGGGGACCCGCAGAGGGAGGGTCTCAGAAATTCACATTAGGGATTTCTGAAGAGGGAATCTAACAGAAACTGCCCATGCAAAGGCCCTATTGCAGATAAAGCCTGAGAGTACTGGGGCAATAGTAAAGAGATAAAATAAGAATGTGTAAAAGAACGAGGGCGGCCAGAATAAGGCAGAGCAAAGCAGTTAGGGCCCAGGGAGGGAGACATGTGCACAATGTGCATTTTTGTAGCCACTGTGCCAGCAGGAAAGTTGTAGTCAGAAGACAGATGGTATGCTTGCTGTGTCTCTCAGCGGCATCTGTACAGTGTGGATGCGCAGTTGCTGAGCAGGGTGGAGCTGGGCTAGGCAGAAAGGCTGGGGAAGTGGTCAACTGAAGGGTGGAAGGACAGCTGTGTGGCGCTTAGGTGCTCTGATGAGGAGCCATTTCCTCCTCACTCAATCCCACAGCACTTAGAGCCAGGAGAAATGCCCCTAGAGGGACCTTTGAAAGCTGGGATTCCAGCTAGGTGCACCCTGAGAGGTGGGGGACATTGTGCTCAGAGCCATTAAAGGAAACGGGTTTCGGGTTTCGTAGACTTTGGGAGTGACGAGTGGCTGGAGGTGTTTATCCCCAGGGCATCTTGGGAACTGGAATGGGCAGCACAGGCACGGTGACTCTTGGGAAGAGCCTCTCTGATCTCAGGCCAGGTCACAGCAAAGCTGTTTGTTCTTCACAGCTGTCCATTGTCGAGAACTCATCTGAGAAACTGCCTGCAGTAGAAATTGCTGCTCTGCTCCAAGCTGGTCACTGAACAGGTGAGGAGGAAGCGGAGGATGGGTGGGGCAGCTGCCTAAGCAGGTCATGGATGGCCTCTCCTGTGGAACCCTGGAACTCACATCTCCCAGTCCTGGACCAGAAAGCACTACGGCCCCTAAATCCTTGTTCTCCCCAGAACTACTTGAGTATACAGGGGTGGGTCCTCAGGTCATCGGGCAGCATTCCTGTGCCCCGATGTATGACAACCCCCCCCTCTTTCCCTACCACACACACAGTCTAGATTCACGGTGGTGGGGGTGACATGATGGAGACACCATCTTTCCTGGCCCCACGACTACACCCGGGGGCTCCAGGGAGTCGAGAAGGACTGGGAGCATGGCACACACTCAGAGCTGGCTCAGACTATCCACCAGGCCCAGCCTAACCCTACACCACAGACGAAGGCGTGGGCTGTGTGAGAGAACAGCTCCAGGTGACTGTGGCAAAGTGACTCAGACACTTTTCAGGTGGTGGAGCACGTGTGCTCTCTGGGGCCGTCCTTCTCCCTTCGCAGTCCATCATTCCAGCCACCCAGCCACCCGCCCCATCACTCATCTGTATACCCAGTCTCACCGCGCCTCCTGTTACACACACAGCGTACCCACCCATGAAAAACACTGCCTTCCCCTCAAGACAATCACAGGGAGACAGACCAGGAAATTATAGAGACTTTGTTTGAGAGCCCACCGCAGGCCAACCATTGTACCTACCTCAGCGCCTGGGAAACAAATTAAAAGCAAAAACAAACACCCAACAACCGCCCCGCCCCCCTCCCACCGCTGCAAAAAAAAAAAAGTTTTATCTTTCTTATTTCACAGGAGTAGAGTGGAGCCCAGAGAGGTTAAATCACTTACCCGGGGTCACACAGCTAGGAGATGATAGAGCTGAATTCATACAGATGGTCTGATGCTGCACCTCAGTTATGGTTGCTTCTCTATTATCCATCGTTGCAGGAATGAAGCCCCGACCAAGATGAGTCTTAGGGCCAAGGGGTGGTGGTGGTGGTGAGGGGGATGTTTACAGGAGTGTCTTGGAGGAGGCCTAAGGTGACTATCACAAGACAGCAGAAGGGAAATATTGGTGTGTTCGGGTTTTGTTTGTTTGTTTTTCATAAACTGACTTGGCACAAAACTGTGCATTCGGTTTAAATTACTCCACTTTAGAAATGGCCAGCTGGCCTGCCACAGGCTCCCTGGCAACGGCTCCCCATGAACTTTCCTATAAGATGTGTTTGCATGACTCTGTCCCCAGTGTTGTCACTTGATTTAACGCTCCCTGGCAGGAAGGCATTTGTTAACGTTCCTCATTCGCCCCTGACTTCTGCAAGTATTGTATCACTCTGTGCCACACAGTTCATCCCTGATACCCAGAGCACCAGCCCCAAGGCTGCCAGGCCTCGGCTCCCTCTTTTCCTGTCAGGCAGAACCATGAAGAGTGGAACCTAGCCCCAGGAAGCTCCTCCCCTTGACTCCTGGCAGAGCCAGGATCTGAACTTTCATCCAGGGACCCTGTCTGTCCTCTCCCAGGAGCAGGACCAGGACCAGGACCAGGGAGCCCCTGGTCCCCGCGCCTGCCTTCCCTTCTAAGAGTTCAGCTAAGGCCAGTCATGACCCTTGCTGCCTCCTACAGACCCTTGTGTTAAGATCATTTGATCTCCTGGCAAGGCTGGGCTGGAGATTAAATGTCTTGGGCTAGTGGGTGTGAATCTGAATTTCATGTTGTTTTGGTGCACTGCTGCGTGTCTCTTTAGGCTTTGTGTTCATTTTCTTTCTTTTTCTTTTTGTGCTGTTGAGACAGGGTCTCCTGAAGCTCAGGCTACTTTCAAGTTCACTATGTCACTGGCATTCTAGGCAAGCACTCTACTAACTGAGCTACAGCCCCAGTTTTTTTTTTTCTTTTCTTTTAACTATTTTAAAATATCCAGACTGTTCTTAGAGCCCAGCTGCCAGGGGAATAGGCAGGGCTCCTGCTCTCCACAAGCCCTTAGTTCTGTCTGTTGGGCAAGAACTGCAGCTTGCCCTTTACATAGAAAGGCATGTCCAGATAGAACCCTGTGCCCCCATGATGAGACTTTGGGGCCTTCTCCAGGTCTGATGGTGACTGTGGGTCTCTGAGATTGGCACAATTCCCAATCTGAGATTCCCATCGTGGGTCACATCCCCAGCCAGAGCAGAACTGTGTGCTTGTTCTTACGGAGACTCTAGCCTGCCTTGTGCCAGCGTGGAGAACAAGCTTGCTTTACTGCCTCTTGCCTCTAGGCACAGTGACCCGTGGCCTTGACCTGTGACAGCTATGCTGGGGCCACTGCTCCAAAGCTGTTTCTCAGCCCTTATACTTTCTAAGGTGGTTCCCAAGTCCCAGGTGGTTGAGCTGCCTGCTCTTGTTTCCACTGCCTCCAAAGTGGGCTCTGTCCTTGCCTGTCCACTCCTGGAGACCTTGGCCATGGCCCTTCACCTCTTTGGTGAATTTACAGGGAGCTGAAGGACTTAGCTCAATGTGTGATAGAATCTGGGTGAGTAATCAAGAGGCCAGCCAGAGTTTCTAAGGCCTGGGATACTAGGGGAATACCAGCCAGCCTTCTGCCTGGGGTGTGGGCCAATGTTTCCAAGGCTGAGGGCTTCTCCTGGCCTCCCAGTCAGAACTCCTTTGAGGAGCAACCCTGGGTCCTTACCACCTGTCCCCATTTGGGTCATCATTTGTCTCCCCTTGGGTAGCAGTCAGACCTGGACCAGCTCTGTTGTAGAGGCAGAGCCATTGAGAAAGAGGCCCAGCAAAAATGCCCCTGCCTGTAGGTGGTAGCAGCAGGCATCTGAGGGCAGAGACCATCTCATGTGGGTTTGTTGGTAAGGGTTGAATGTTTACAGAGGTAGGAGGCTCTCAGGGCCCCATAGCTTCATTCTCTGCATGGAGCTCAACAGTGCTGGTGATTTAGTTTGAGCCCTGCTTGGGCCTAGACAGATCTCCCCATGGTGAGGTGTTTCAGTGAGGGGCTAACAGGGCACAGGGCAGTTCGGCTCACCACTATCATGGTGGTCGTTGGTGTTAACCGATCTTCCATGTCTGTTCACAGATTCCAGTTTTTGCTTGCCTGAAGTCTGTTACCCATGCAACTATAGCTCTTTTGTCTTGTAGTGTTTTTTTTTTGTTTGTTTGTTTGTTTTATTTTAGTTGTTTTGAGGAAAAATGTGGTCCTGGCTAGCTTGGAAATTGCTATGTACACTCACACCTTTAATACCCAGAGGTAGAAGGCCAGAGGTGAATCACTCTGAGTGCAAGAACTAACTCTTTAGAGGGCTCCTCCCTGAGGGAGCACTTCACAGTGGGAGGAGCTAGACCTTCACAGTCCTCCTGGCCACTGGGCCAGCCACAGCTTGCCTGACCCAGGTCCTCCAGGGCTGGTTGGGAGGATGACAGCGGATGATGGATGAGGATGGCTGTCCATAGCAGGTGCTGTTTACTGCGGCCTTCCTTGTCCCTTAGCAGACACCATTGTCTCACGCTTATTCCCGGAGACCCCACCTATCTACAGACCAGCACAGAAGACAATCTAGACTGACATTGTACCATAGGCCTGCCTCAGGTCCCCGCCAGCAGGGCCAAGTGTCCTAACAGGCTAATGGGCACCAGCTCCTGACGCTCAGATCCCTGGACACAGGTACACTACATTTTTTCCGGTGGAGGAGGGACTCTCTCTGGCCTGCCTGGGCCCTGCTGTCCCTGGGAATGTGCTGGGAAGGAAGCACAGACAGGCCCAAGCAAGGTAGCTTGAGAGGTGAGAGAAGCTCCTAAGTCCGTGAGCTAGCTTTCCTCTTGGACTGTTTACCCTGCAATTTATAGCATGTCTGTGGAGGTGGCAGGCTGTCCTGGGAGGCCCGGGGGAGGAGAAACAATAACTGCCCTTGTAGTGTCCAGGCAGATTGCCCTGGGCCAAGCCTGGGCTGTGGCATCTCAGACTCCAGCTCTCTGATGCATGCAAAGTTTGTTTTTCCTCTTGGGGAGACTGTGTGGGAGCTGCTGAGACCAGCAGCACCTCACAGTAGAAGGTCACTTCTGCTCTGCAGTTCTCACACCCAGGCCTGACATCTTGGTAGACTGGAACAGCCGTGTCCTCTGGTCTCCCCTTGAGTCCCTGTGAGCATTAATTTCCAGTATTTGCATGCCACCTGAGATGGAAGGTTAACACCCTCAGGTGGCCTTTCCTTTTCCTGAATGGCATTGCTTCCGGCCGTGCCCAAAGCTGCCCTTTCAAAGGGGCGTTTGAACCTTCCTTTAACAGAGCTGTCACGAGGCTGAAGGGGTCCCCTTTGGGGACCACTGCCTCTCCCCATCCCATTCCAGTCTCTGGGACTGTGTGCAGGGTAGAAATGGGGCTCCACTCAGCAAGGAGGGTAGAGCATGAACATGTCCAAAAAGGAGTGGGGGATGCATGTGTGGATGCAGAGATTCGAAGAAGAAAGGGTGTGAGCAACCCCTACACCCTGTATTTCCCTCTGCCCTGGGCTCCCCTCTTCTCCCTTCCCAGAACTGCAGGAACACAGTGAGACCTATACTGCCCCACACCCTAGGCTGGCTCTACCCATGCAGCTGTCCTCGCCCAGCTGTCCTTGCCCAGCTGCTTGGTGCTGACTCCCTGCATCCTGTGGGTCCTAACTGGCCTTGAGGGGGAAGGGAAGGGAGCGAGGCAACTTCCTGCTGAATTCTCTAGCTCCCAGGGAGTTGGGGGTCTTTGCTGTGGAGGGGCATAACGCCTCACACTGGCTTCTGTCACTCGGAAGTGTGGCTTGAGTCATTTAAGGTGACCGTCATGAACACTAGTAAACAACCTGGGCATCCCAAGTGTAGACTGACAAGCATGTGCTTCCTGGGCTAGGGGGTTCAATGCAGCATAGTGGGAACCCTCAAGTTCAAGTTACAGGGGAGGCCTGTAAACCTCTCCCCACCCACCAAATTCTGAAAATGCTACCTGCACGTGAATTTTCAGGAGGAATATATAACCCCCAAATACGAAAAGGTACTGATCAATAGTATAGATTCCTACAAGGCGTGTAAGACTATGTGCTTTGGGAGAATGCTGTCTTGCAGAGATTATGCAAAACCCTCTCTCTGGCATGAACACAGTTTTGCTACAAAGCACACACAGGAAGTAGCTTTTTAAGATGGTGGCAGTTAAACTACTACAACAACAAAACAACAAAAAGATGGTGGCAGTTGCTATGGGGCTACAGGAGTAAGATTCTGTGGCCGACATTTGTTGGCTGCTTTGTGATCTGTATCTATCCCTTTGTGGAGAAACCAGGACCCTTTCAGCCTCCACATGCCTGAAGCCCCAGCCTTGGTCCTAGAGAGGTGTGCCGAACCTGGGAGCTTGTCCCAGTCTCATTCTGGTCTGTCAGTCACTTGTTAATTTCTTGGCCGTGTAACTTCTGCCAGTGTCTCCTCAGGTGAGTCCTAGAGCCTGGTGTTACAGAGATGAAGGTTTCCCTGCCCTGTGTGGTAACTTCTTTCTCTGGATCAGAGAATTACTCTTTCCAGCTGTGTGACTTTGGGCTGGGCACCCGACCTCTCTGTGCCTCAGCATCATGTAAAGCAGGCACAGTGCTCACTGTGAGTGCTCCATTGAGAGTGGGCTGAGATGACCTGGCCTGGGGATGAGGACACTGGCTCTCTGCCTTGCAGTGCCCTCCACCAGTCCCGAGCCTGCCTCCCTCATCTCCTCCCCTTCCCTCTCTCCCCAGGGAGCTCCAGGACCTGCAGGATGGGGGCAGCCTGCATCAAAGTCACCAAGTACTTCCTCTTCCTCTTCAACCTGCTGTTCTTTGTGAGTATCCAGCCTTCTCGAGCCCTCAGACTCTGGCCAGGCACCAGGTGGGATGTGGCTGCTGGGGTCCCAGGGCATGGTTCCTGAGAAAGCCAGTGATGGAGAAATGGAGTCACCTCTCCCAGCAGATTCTGTGACACAGGGAAGGTTTCTGTCCAGAGGCCTCTGCCTGGCCTGGGGGTGGATGTGTCTCCTCCCTCTAAGGCGGGGTGACCCAGCCTCCCAGTGTCTCTGGCTTGTTCTTCTCCTTGCCCCACCTCTTGCCTGCTTCCTGTTACAGCCCCAGCTTGAACAGGCTCCAACGCCTCACCTTGAACTCTCAGAGGCCCCAGGGGACATTTTTTCCTTTACCCCCTTACAGGCCCACCGAGTTCCCTGCCACAGGTCTGTCCAGATGTGAGCTCCATGGCACATCTGGAGCTGGTTTTCCTGGGGCCCCAGGCTTCCCCTCTGGCTTGGAACCAACAGCCTGCCTTGGTGTTACCAGACCCCTGGCATGCACGTGTGTGCACATGGGCATGTGTGTGTGTGTGTGTGTGTGTGTGTGCGAGAGCACATGCTTGTGGGGGGGGTATTAGCACACTGAAGGGGCTGCCGTGACCCCCAGAGTGCTATTAATGCTTCGGCTTCTCCATCCTGGTTCACCCTAAATAGCTTTAAGACACAGATTTCTATACCAGGTACTTGCCATGTGTTTCATAGTGTCTAGATTTTTGGAAATACGAGTATCATCGAGAAGCAAGGATAAGCCTCTCACTACTTGTGCTAGGGTTTCCCTGAAGTATAAATGAGTTACTTATAGGGGGTAATTTTACATTATAAGTGCATAGGATTATAGGAACTTTGAAATACTCACATAGAATCATTCTAAATTCCCCTTCAGAACTAAACATGGTATTTCCAGGAGTGTTAATGGAACACATTCATAGATGATTGCCCACGTGAAGGCACACACAAGTGGACTGTCCTGGCATGTACTACTCTAGGTCCTCTGCAAGGACCTAGGACCAGCATGCTGGTCCCCGCAGGCCTCAGGCCCTGCAACTGGGCATCAGCCCCAGAATTCACCTGTGCTGGGTGTACAGCATGGGTGCTTCCTTTCCCAGCCTGACAGGTAGATCCCTCCCATCGGGCTTCCAGGAAACAACTGCCCAGGAAGACAGAGCAGTCTCCTGGGCCAAAGACCAGCTGATAGGGACTGCAGGACAAAGGTGGCATGTTATTGCTATGTCTCAGGCCTCGGAAACTTGAAAAAGGGGCCAGGTGAGGTGGCAGGACTGTCTGTACAATCCGGGGATACAATGGAAGGGCCGTGAGCTGGCAGAAAGTGAGAGAAGGGTGGATGGGGGGCCTGGGTATCTCCTCCTGTGTTTCTCTAGGCTGGCTTTTAGAACCAGATGCAAAGAGCTGGTATGGCAGGTGCTAACTGCCTGTTTATTGGCTCAGGTACTCCTCTAGCCAGGCAAGAAAAAGGGTGTGGAGACAGCACTTTCCATAACTCCTCCAGCACAGGGTTACAGGGTTCTGAATCTGTGACTTCCCCCAGGACAGGTAAAAAGTATCTCCAAAATGCTGTATCCTTACTGAGCATGTGCAGACCAACAGTGAGCAACAGCTCACTCTGCCCTGGATATCGCAATACACCGTGTGTCCAGAATTTCCCATGTCAGGATCAAGCATCATAGGACATCTAGGGGTGATTTAGAGTCTAGGGGTTGCGGCTGGGTTGTCGGTAGAGTGCTAGATACTAACCACAAAGGACCAGGCCACAAGGAAAGGGCAGGTCAGCCAGGCAGTGGGCACATGCGGCTGGGGAGAGTGTCTGTTCCTGAGCCGAAAGCTTGTGTCTGCTGTACTGCCTCTCGAGTGAGTTTTTAAGATCTGCCTATCACTGCCTCCGAATGCTGAGGTTGCAGCATGCGTGCAGAGCATGCACAGATGTTTTTATGTGTGTGCTGGGGATTTGAGCTCAGGTCCTCATCTTACAGAACAAGCTCGCCTACCCCACAGATCTACCTCCCCAACCCATCGGGAGGTTTCAATAGTAAAAGAACAAAATCATAAATTAAAGCACATTTTTTAAAAAACCCTCAAGTATTTTTTATTTTTCCCTTTAATGAGACAGAAAACAGACTCTGACTTGATGTACATTCATGTAGAAGTTTTCTAGAATGTTCACAACTCAACACCCTGGCAGGTTTGAGTGAGCAGCTGTGGTCAGTCACCATAGGCAGCATGCTCTATTAGGATGGGGTTCAAATTTGCTCTATATTGCACTGTGACCAAAGAGAGTTAGGGGAGGAAGGGGTTCTCTCCCCTTACACTTTGAGGTCACAGTCGATCATCGAGGGCATGAACTCAAGGCAGGAACCTGAAACAGAGGCCACAGAGGAATGCTGCTTGCTGGCTCACTCAGAGGATCATGCCCAGCTGGCTTTCTTGTGCGCTGCCTGGGGAATGGTGCTGCCCGCAGTGGACAGAGCTCACCTGCATCAGTTAACAACCAAGACAGCCCCCTCATGTGCCACAGGCAAGTCCTCCAACGGGGCTTTCCTTTCAGATGACTCTAGGCTGTGTCGAGTTGATAGAGCTAACTAGGACAGATGTCCAAACTTCACTCCAATCCGTTTCTTCCTCTTCCTCTCTGAAACATCCTCTGAAAGTTGTTTGAGGTCAACCCACAGGAAGGCCACTGTGCCCAGCTTTCATCCAGTCAGCTCTGGTATTCAGAGGCTCCTGTACATAGGACTTTGAGGGTGCAGATTGGCAGCCTGGGGAGCTGGGCAGATCCAGCGGACATGAGGTGAGCTTCAGATACATTGGTAGAAATATCTGGTAGGTGGGTTACAGCAAATCTGGGCTGGGGGATCCCTCTTGTAGGCCTCAGATGCTACTTGATGACATTCTCAGTGTTTTGGGGTAGTGGAAGCTAGTGCTTAAATGTCCAAAGAGATTTCCCTAAAAGTCACAAGGATGTTAGGTCACACATAAAGTAGTACAATAAATGGCTATTTAGAGGTCTAAAGACAACAGAGTAATTTATTCTCAGCCCGTAACATTCCAGCTTTCCACAACCAGAGTTCTCATCCCATTTATTTATTTATTTACTTATTACAATTTATTCACTTTGTATCCTGGCTGTACCCCCCCCATCTCCTCCCTATCTCAATCCCTTAATTAAACTTGGGGGCACTTTGACTCCTGTGGCTTTTTTTCTGAAAACCAGTCCAAAGGAAGAAGGGTACCAGTAAGGGCAGTAAGTGTACGCGCTGTGTGTGTGTGTGTGTGTGTGTGTGTGTGTGTGTGTGTTAGTGTTTGTGCACAGGTGTATGTATGTGTGAATGTGTGTGGTTGGGAGTGTGTGTGTGTGTGTGTCCATGGCAGAAATGGCAGAAGGGACTCTCTGGACATTGTATGTCTTCTCCTACCCCCCACCCCCCTCGATTGGGTCCCGGGCAGCTTCCTGACCTACCTGCTCTGGGCCTCCACTGACTGCCCCTCTCCTTGCAGATCCTGGGTGCTGTGATTCTGGGCTTCGGGGTGTGGATCCTCGCAGACAGGAGCAGCTTCGTGTCCGTCCTGCGTAAGACAAACCCTGCCCACACAGCCTACTCTTGAGAGGAGGGACATATGGGTGCAGTTACTCCCAGGGACATGGCCACCTCCTGTCGCTGACTGCTGCACAGGGGACCCCTGCCAGGGACCCAGCACAAATGCCTGCTCACAGACAAAGCTACCATTGTCTGCAGATCGCTGGGTGACTGGGTTGGGGGTGGAGGGACTCATACTCTTCACCCTCAGAGAAGCCTGTCACACCCTCTGTCCCAGTGTTTGACTGCTCAGTGAAATGCTGGCTGCAGTCACTTCCCACTTCAGAGAGTCGTAGGAAAGAGTCAGATGCATATCAGCCTTAACCCTAGCAGCCCTGCTATTCCAAATGTACAAAGGGACAGAGTCATTAAGACACTGGCTCCTCAATGGCGATTAGCTCTGTCCTCCATGCCAGGCCCCTTCTGTCCTTCAGAGGTAGAGCTGACCAGCATGGGCTGACTGAGGACATAGTACCTGACCTCCTTGCCTCCTCCCTTAGGAGGACCTCATGCCTGGCGGAGTTGGCCCGTCCCAGTTCTGGGTGCGGAGGAGTGTAGCATGCCAGGAGCACTCTGTGCCAGCCATTCCCCAGTGAGTGGCAGGCCCTGGCCCTCTTCACTTTCAGCAGCTGTCCAAAGCAGCTGGTTTGGACTCTGGCCATTCTGACAGCTGCTTGATTTAAACAAGACAGACCCTGTCAGGGATATAGAGAGGAGGGTTTATACCTGTTGCCCAGGTTCCCAGGGCCAGGCCTTCCGTCAGGAGGTAGAAAGCAGGGATGACCCTGCTGTGAGCTCTCACTGTCTGGGGTAAGGTTGGGTGGGTTTTCTCTGCCCACTCTCACACTCCAGTGCCCTCCCACAGGGACAAACTCTCCTTAGACATGATTCTATTCTGCCTTAATGGGTCCAGCCCACACCCATCAGGCACTGTGCCAGAGTGCAGTCTGCTGGCCGCCTCGTTGCTGCCTGCACCCTGCCCTGTGCGGTCAGGCTTTAAAGGCTTCTGACTCTCCACAGCTCTGTAAATTCCAGGCCCAGGTCGCACCCAGCGCACACCCACCTGCAGACATTGTTCTGAGTTTACAGCAGCATCCAGGGGCCCCTGGGCGGCCAGGGCCCAGAAACACTGTGGAGTCTGCGCAGGTGCACTGCTGTGATACCTATGCCAGCGGGGGAGAGGGGGGCTATAGGGTGAAACCTTATTCCTAAAAAAGCAAACAAAAATCCAGGTGAGAATACAAAGAAAAGCAACCCTGATCCAGCAGCACAGGCAGTTGGGGAAACTGAGGCTGGTGGAGGCCCTACTCCCAGGTGAGGGTCAAAATGGGACCCAGGGCTCCTGACTTGCTGGATGACATAACTGCCCCTGAACTGGGCATCTCCTGAGTCACTGGCACTGGGACTCTTCCCCCATCATCCCCTTTACAGAAGAGAGAGTCCTCAGCACAGAGAGGTGGGGTAACCTGCCTGAGGACACGTAGTTAGAAGGTTAGGGGGGGATGGGAGCCCAGGTCCTGGCTCTTGCCCCATGTGAGTGCTGAGTCCCTCATGGTGGGATATTCAGAAAAGAAAGCATGGTTCAGAAGGCACCCTGGATCTAGGAGTTGTGTGTGGGGGATTGAAGGTCAGTCTCACAGATCTGCTGCCTGCCAGCTGTGTGGTCCTCAGCAAGTTACTTTACCTCTCTTTGCTGCTTTCCCTGCAAAGCAGGGATGATAGCAGTGTACCTCCTGAGATGGTGAGGTCATAGAGCCTCCTTTCCCTGTGGGGCATGGAGATCATACACCTGTAATGCCAGCAGGTGGGAGCTAGAGGCGGGAGGAGCAGAACTTCAAGACCATCCTCTGCTCCAGAAAAAGTTTGAGGCCAGCCCAAGCTATGTGAGGCCCAGTCCCAAACAAGCATATAAGAAGGGGTCTCTCACTTCAGCGTGAAGCTTTGAGGATGGCTCTGAGGGACTTGTGTAATACAGCTGAGTCCTGTTGGCTGTGAGACGCTATACAAAGTCCCATTTTTCCAGAGGAGGAAGGAGGAAGTAAGTGGCTTGCCACGGGTCGTGGCATGCTGGCCGAGCTTGGTCACCTGACTGGGTGCCTAGTCCCTTCAGTTTATGTGGCCTGCCCTCTACCTTCCTGGTCCGTTGCTGGCTGAATCAGACGCACGCTCCTGTTGTACACACGGCAGGGGCGACCCCAGGATGCTCCGCTTGGCTGCCACCACCTCGGTGAGCAAGCACTGAGAATGGCCAAGCAGGCCTCTGTCACCCCTGCTGGAGGGCCTGGGTTGGCCCTGGCTGTTCCTCATCCCTGGGGGACCACGTGAAGGATTGGCTCTCCCCTCAGCAGAGCTTGAGCCCAAGGCCCTGTAAGAGTCCAGATCTCCAAAAGGTCCCTTTAGCCACCCCCGCTCGCCTTTGCCTGACGGTGGCTTCTGCTACCTGCAAAGCATGGCAGACCCCTGCACTAGCTGACGCTTTTGCACCTGACAGCCTTTCCCTGCCCCATGTCCTGGCCAGAGAGGGGGCCGGCAGGTCTTCAGGGCACTCAGCAGACCCTCTGTGATGTCTGCCTCTTGATCCACACCCCCCCGCAACTGGCAGGGCCCCCTAGGAAATACAACTCCTGGCCCCACCCTCCTGCATTCAGTCTCAGGGTTCGGGGAAAATCAGGTGTAGGGCATAGAGAACAAAAGGAAGAAAAAGGACCCTAGGCTGGTGGGAGTGGAGTGTGGCTGTACCCAGGACTAGGTGAGGAACATGGATGTTCCCACCCCAGCTCTGAGGAGTCAGGCAGTAGACCTGGACCCAGGCTGCCTTTGCCCTGCGGCTCACGGCTCACTGGACGCGCGCCCTTCTCCTTCAGAAACCTCGTCCAGCTCGATGCAGGTGGGGGCATACGTCTTCATTGGTGTGGGCGCCGTCACCATGGTCATGGGCTTCCTGGGCTGTATCGGTGCTGTCAATGAGGTCCGCTGCCTGCTGGGGCTGGTGAGTCCGGGCCCTGAACCTGTGCTGGCTCAGACCCCTGGGTGGGCAGTTCCTCCCGGGACGGGGCAGACAGCCATGGGCCCACAGCTGACTCTGTATCTCTTTGTTCCTAGTACTTCGCCTTCCTTTTGCTGATCCTCATTGCCCAGGTGACTGTTGGGGTCCTTTTCTACTTCAACTCTGACAAGGTGAGAACCCTTCTTCCTACTTCTAGCGGGTGAGGTCTGGTGAGGTACCTATGTTAGGGCAGAAAGGAAACCATTCAGTTGTCACAGACAGCCCAGAAAGTCTTGGCCAGCCTCCTGCATAAAGACTGTCCTCCTCTAGGTGACCAACGGTGTGGGAGTGGCTAGACAGACTTGTTTCCCTTACTGGGGGTGCCAGAGTTGGCCTTCTGCCCTGGGGAGGCCCCTTGGTGGCACTTGTAAATAAAAGTGGGGCAGTGTAGGGAGCCTCAGGGCCTGTGATGGAGTCTCGGGTTGCTTTGTGGCCTCAGACTAGCCACTTCCCTCTCTGAACCTGCCTCACCCTCAGTAAGCAAGGATGGGGACCACCGGTGCCTGGCTGGGTGAGAGGCTGATACGTGCAAGGCAGTTTCTGCCATTACCTCTCTTCAGTCTGTGTCACCTGCTGCCACTGTGCCACAGATGAGCCTAGGGAGGTGTCTGTTAACGCAGACATTAGCCCTGTGTAAGCAATGTTTAGCTCTCAGGACAGAAAGTCAGACTTAGTGTGGCTCAAGGTCCAAGGGATGTTTGCTGCTGGTTTCTCCACAAGTCTCCATTAGAAGTTCAGAGACTGGTCAGCCCTCCCACTGGGATGAGGCACATGTCACCTCATGGTCACAGGGTGGCTGCCACAGCACCAGGCACAACATCAGCACTGTTGTGGCCAGAAGAACAGAGGATGATGGCAGCCAGAGCCATTGCTCCTCTCAGACAGCCTCCCTGCACTGGGTCTCGAAGGCGCCTGAGGAAGTTTAGCCTGAGATGTTCGTGACTGTTGAGAATCATGACTGCCCAGTGCTCAGGTCTGGGCCCCTGCTGTGTGTACTGACACCACGTAAAAGCTTCACACACATAAGTTCTGGACAGCAGCCCTGCAGGGCGAGTTCCATGTCGGTGGGTAGAGAAACAAGTGCTTCTTATTGAGACAGGGTCTCATTGTGTAGCCCAGGCTGGCCCAGAACTCAGAAATCCACCAGCCTCTGCCTCCTAAGCACTGGATTAAAGGTGTGTGCCGCCTTTAATCTGGAGAAGTGGATGGTGAGGGAGAACATTGATCACAGCCCCTTAGACCCTCGAGTCTCTGTTGCTGGGTCACACTGGCCACAAACCAACCTCAGTGCTGACCCTGTTACACCATGTCATCACCAGTCACCACCCAGGTCATGTGAGAGGCGGGGTCATACTTCGTCCCTCCTCCATCCTGCCAGTGCAGAAGTCAGAGAGGCCCAGTCTCCCCGACTCCCTTTAGAGGCCTCACTGAGGCCCAGCTGAGCCCTGGGCTCTCCCTCCTATCCTGCCATGCAGCACAGGGCAAGGGCTTCTAGCTCTAGGCCCCTCTTGGAAGCTAAGAATGTTGGTCCAACATGAGCTAACTCTTCATAGACCTGAGAAAGGACCTGGTGCTGGGCTATTCACATACTGAGTTTGGTCATTTTCTTAAAGCATGCAGGAGATTGAAGGGGGGTGGATTTCATTTTCAGATGTGAGTGCTGAAGCACAGAGAGCTTTAGCAACTTCTGCATATCTACATAGCTAGTGAGCAGCAGAGACAGGATGGGAACCCAGGCATCCTGCTTTAGTGAACATGCTGATAAAACATTTGCCATATTGGTTCCTCCCCTGGATCTGCTTTGGTTTATAATCCACACCCAGCCTGTTCTCCAGGTGAGGTGGGCTGGCTCTCAGCATGGGCATAGGCTCCCAGCATGGGCATAGAGCTTCCAGCATGGGCACAGGCTCCCAGCTATAGCACAGGGCTCCCAGCATGGGTGAAGGGCTCCCAGCATGGGCACAGGGCTCTCAGCATGGGCACAGGCTCCCAGCATGGGCACAGCACAGCTGCAATCAAAATGAGAGAGAAGAGAGCCTGTCCTAAGAGCAGAGCTGCTTGTTTCTGAACCATGACAGCTGAGGGCAGACCTGAGCTCTGAGCCTTCAGGTGGCCAAGGCAAAAGAGGAAATGGTAGAGTCACCAGATGAAAGGAAGCTCCTCTGGATGTCAGGCAGGAAACCTGTGGTTAGGGGAGGGGACTCCTTACCCAACAGGGTATAAGGTCTGGTACCTGTTTCTCCCTTGTGCGGCTTTTCTGGGACCTAGTCAGGATATATTCAGTGCCACTAGGTAGGACACTGGTGGCCTCTTCAGGGTGTCTGAGCTGCCATAGTAGTGATGACGACAGCACCTATGGGTGCTTCAACCCCACATCAGGGGCCAAGCTTGAACACAACCTGTTTCAGATTTACAAGTACTTTTCCATTCAAGAAACAGAGGCTCACAAGAGCCAAGGTGACTTAGATCATGGTAAGACACTCAGCAGCCTCAGAGAGACTTCCCAAGCATCCTTTTGCCTGCTGCTCCGCCACACCCCCAATCTGTGTAGAAGCCCAGGAGCCCAGCTTCTGGATCTGCCTCCAGCCCCGGATCAGGCCTTGGCTCTTTGCAGTGCTGTGTGCCCCACAGCCTTCCCCTGCCACCTGACCGCCTCAGGCTCCACGTCTCACTCCTTCCTGCACAGAACAGGGATCCTACACTGGGTGAGGTTCCAGGCCCCTGCGCTCCTGAGTTAGAAGGAGCATAATTTCCCCTCCAGGCACATTGTAAATCACAGCAGGAGACTAAACATCCCTTGGTGATGTTTATTCCTGGAGACAAGCACAGCTGGGGAGTGGGACAGGGTTTCTCAGGGCAGAGGAAGAGGCTTCTAGATGACTGGCCTCTTCTCAAGGGCCTACTCAGAACTGGTTCTGAGACCCTGGGCACACTCGTCACCCAGTCTCTTTCTGCCTCAGCTTCCTCTTCTGTGGAGGTAATGCTTCAGGCCACTTGAGTGTCCTCATCAAGTGTCCCTGTCAGGAACGTGCTCTGAGACAGTAGCTGCAGCCACTCAGTGGCAAAGTGGCCCACAAGCAGTACACCAGGTCCCCTGTGCCCAATAGCCAGCGTCCCTGGGGAAGTCAGTGGGTACAGTTGTGCGAATGCCCCAGGCCCTTCTGGTCTGTGACATGTCACCACTCTATTCTATTATTTTGGTTTGAGACTGAGTTTCATAATTCCAGGCTCGCCTTGGAGTTATTATGTGACCAAGGATGATTTTGAACTTATGATACTTCTTCCTGCTCCTCCCAAGTGCTAGGAGTACCATCAGTACCCTTCCCCCAGTTTCATTCAGTCTGGGGATGAGACCCTGGGCTTTGTGCTTGCCAGGAAAGCACTCAGCCACCAAGACACATCCCCCAGCTTTCCCAGTTTCTCTGTAAGATCTGAATGCTACCAGACATTGGAGGCTCCAGGGCCTCCTCCCAGTGCCGTGTGGACAGTGGTAAGTTACAGGGTGCATGGCCCAGGGACCTTGGCTGGTCGGCAGGCATCATGGCATCACTTTGCTGGATCCTTTGCTGGGTCGGGGTGAGCAGATAAGCACCGTGGGCAGCTGCACCCACTGTGGTAAATGTTAGGATAGGCCCAGCTGAGTGCAGAAGACTTAGGATGAAGTCACAGGGCTCAGGTTGTTGTCACTGCCAGTGGATGTTAGCCACTGTGTGTTTGCTGAGCCTGTGTTGGTAGCAGGGCCCAGGCCTCGAATTCAGGGATCCTGCCCACTCTTCGGCAGGCTCTGATACTGGTTGCTGTCTGACTTGGGTGAACTTACACACACTCTCTGAGCTGTTTAGATGTCTAGACCTGGGATTCTCCTGGTCCTCCCTAGGGTAGTAGAGTTGGAGGGGACCAAGAAAGAAATGAAGTCTTCCTGCCTCCCTGTTGGCTTGTCTGCAAGATGACAGCTATATGCTAGCTTCCCATTAACATGTACAGGGATGTCAAGAACCTGAATTGGGTTGATGTGCTAGGCTTGGAGAAGGGCCAGGTGGGGCCAGATTGTTCCAGAGATGGTGTTAGGAGAGCTGGCTCCCTCCCAGCTCCAGAAAGCCTGAAGTCGTGAGTGTGTTCAAGCCTGTGTGGCAAAGGTGGTAGGCCAGGTGCCCAGTGACCAAGCTTCCCTGTGAATGGCCTGATGTTTCCGGAGAGATTGTCTCAGGGATAGGACAGGTGTCCTTTTCTTCCCAGCTGTGAAGGGAGAAGGCATCTGGCTGTTGATTTCCCAGGGTCATAGAGACAGAGGTGGAGCCTCTCAATTGAGCCCAGAGACCTGGGTCTGTACAGGGACAGTATGCTCGTTGTCAGCCTGTGGTGGCTGGGAGCATGGCACACTCCTGCAGATTGTGTGGGGCAGCAGGCTTCTAGAGTCACACAGTGGTCATTAGAGGGGACACATCCTGCCATCCTGCCCTATGGCCCAAGCGGAGGGCCTGAGTCATAGCATGCCCTGCCCGGAGGAGCGCCAGGCAGCATCTTGGGTGGGACCCTGGAGGACAGTGCTGGTATGTTGTGACACATTAGAGAAGTCTGTGAAGTGTCCTCCAGAACCTGGAGAGGGACCACAGAAAGGAGGGCAGAGGGCACCAGTGATCTTTGGCCCAGGAAAGGACTTAACTAGCCCTGTGAGGTTCAAGCGAGGACTTAAGAGGCCCAAAGCAGTGAGGCAGTGAGGAACTAACAAACTGGTGAGGTGCTTGCATTGAGAGACTCCCACCCTGTGGCATGCCTCTGTGGGGTAATGTGCACCCCAAGACAGGAGGCATTTAAGCAGAGGGCAGGAAGGCATGGGAAGGAGTCCCAAGTTGGGTTCTGTGCTGTCCTTGAAGGTCCTCTGCCTTTCAGACTGTGAGCAGCACTATACTTGGAAAAATAACAGTGTGGCCTCTGTGCATGTGCTGGTGAGGTGGGGCTGACCAGGTGGAGGCCTCTGGGATCTGGGAGCTGCACAGATCTGGGTTATGGAATCTGCTGCCGGCTAGATGGCCTAGAAAATGGAGGACCCATGGAGTTAGATTGCCTGTGGTTTGTCTGATGCCCTGGCGAGATATGATCAATGGACATTGCCCTCTTGGGGTCTCACTAGGAGAAACAATGTGACAAGTTGGGGAGGATGATGGGGTTGACACCATCCCAGGGACCGACCAAAGGGACAAGAGATAATCAACCATGAATCTCAGTCTCCAAAGTGCGAACAGAATTCAGTCCCTTCCTGCTTCTGGTTCCACTCCTCTGCCCCCCGCCTCCAGCTGGCTTGGCCCCCAGGGAACCACTCCAGTAATACAAGAGGCCCACATATATGGCTGTACAGCACTAGGTGGAAGCTGGGGTCACTGACCCTAGCCGTGTCAGCCACATCCTGGACTAGAGGATGCTGAGTGATTTCCATGGAAATCACCCACCATAGGTGGAAATCACCTAGGGCCTTTTATCACCTTTTGGTGTCTTTGAAAGGGTTGTAGAGGAAGTAGGGAAGTCCGGCTGCCATGGCAACCACACTGGGAAACTACAGAGCCCTGTGGCCACAAAGTGGGGACCTACCAGCAGGGGAGGATGTGGAAGGGGTTGGAAGGTGGGTTTACAAGGCCTGGGGATTGTCTGCTTATCTAGACCAGAAGCTAGGCCCAGATGGTCAGGGCAGACAGACCCAAGACCTGCAGGCCGACTGTACGGTTGTGGGCTGCACAAACCACAGGGGCTTCTCTGGCCCCATCGAAAATTCTTCTGTTCTGCATGTGGTTGAATGGAAAGGGATCCTCTCTGGTGGATGGAAGTCTTTGATCTGGAAGCAGACAAACCCAAGTCCAAACTTCAGTTCCTGCATGTGGCTGTGACCTAGATAAGTCCACAAGCCTCTCTGGGCCTGTGGTGACAGAATAGGACCAGTTCTTGGGCCACAGGCCGGGTGGGAGGGTCAGTTGAGATAATTCAGTAAGCGTATTCTGCGCAGGTCAGCCATTGTTGAGCTGTAGGTCGGAAAGATTCGTTTTCTTTCTTTTCCTGTTTTTTGTTGGTTTTTGAGTTAGAGTCTCATGTAGTCTAGGCTGGTCTCAAAGTGGAAGTATAGCCACAGATGACCTTGACCCTGTCACCCTCCTTGCTGAGTTCTGAGTTACAGGTGTGTGCCACCATGCCCACTTTATGCTGGAGGCTGAACCCAGGTTGACGTAGGCTAGTTCTGTACTAACTGAGCCACATCCCCAGGCCAGGAGGCTTCTTGAAAATTATTCTAGGAGCTTTACTGGGCTGGTTCCCCCAGATGAGCAGGGAAGTAGCTAGGAGCACCCAGATTGCTGGCCCAGCTGGAAGAGGTAGGCATCGTGGTTACAGAGCTCAAGGCTTCCTTTGACAGGCTGGGGTAGAACATACTGAAGAACGTGGTTATGTCCAGGAGAGGGGCAAGTGTGTGGCCTTCCTCTTCACAGGGACATTTCTGGGTGCCTCATGAGTAAGGAAGGAGGTCATGGTGGCCGGCTTGTTCCAGCCGTGTGTTAGGGAAGTGTGCACAAACTGCCCACATGGTTCTTGGAGGCCATCTTTCTGCCCTTGTGGGTCTCACTTCGCTCTGGGGCTAGCTGCAGAGCTTTGCCCTCTGCACAGCTGGCTCTTGGTGAGAAGCTGTGAGATCGTGGCCTCTGTTCTCTGAAGCCTTCACCTGCCTCTCACACCTGGGCCTCCTCACGCCAGGTACCCAGCCAGGATTCCCCAGCCGGGTGGGGCCCACTAATCAGGATGTGGACTGTGAAGTTTCAGGGAGGACAGACATGGAGGGCCCTGTGGATCTGCAGCCCAGCCCTCTAACAGTCTCATGTGGCACTGCTGGCTGTAGGGGAGGACAGCTTAGTCACGTGGCTGAGGCCCAGGCAGGCTGCCTGCCTTGCAGTCTTAGGGCTTTCCTGAGAGACTACAGCCTGTGCCACAAAAGCAAGAAACAGGACATGCTCTGCCTCTTATTTTTGCTCTCTCTAGGAGACTGGCCTTATGCCAGTCTCCTGTGAATATTAACCATGGGGAAGGTGTGTTTGTTACCTGTTACCACACACTCAGCTGCACCCTGCCTCGCTCCAGCTGCTGGGGACTCAGTAGCTCGCACCCAGACCCCACCCACACCCCCCAGCTGAGAAAATAGACTCCAAGCCCAAATAGCAGATGGGCTCTTGGTGCCAGCATTTAACACTGCAGGACAAGGAGGGCCAGGGAAGGATGACAGAGCCTCAGAGTGTTCTGAAGAGCAACCCTGAGGCCTTTCTGAGGAGATGAAGTTTGACAGGGGAGCTAGCCATGTTCATATCCAGGGGAACAGCATTCTGAGCAGAGGGAGCAGCACAGAGACAGCAAGAGGCCTTGTGTAATGGAGCATGGCATGAAAGAGCAGGGGACCAGGGAGTGGGAAGACCTGGACAAATGGCCTGGGACTTTGTAAGCCACTGAGAGCACATTGACATGTCTCCTGAAAGTTGTGAAAGGCCACAGGAGGCTTTTCAGCATTGACAGCGAAGATGAATGGTGAAGCGATAGGCCGTGGCTGACCAGGTCGGCGCTGACAGAATGGGCACATGGATGACCAGGAAGGTAGTCGTCCTGGAGCCTTGAGTGTGGCCTGGGATTGCTGAGGTGGAGAAGGCAGTATGCGGCTATGAGGCCCAGGTTCTAGTCCAGCCTGACCCTTGCACTCCCTCTACAGCTGAAGCAGGAGGTGGGCGCCACGGTGATGACCATCATTCAGAACTACAAGGTCAATGCCAGCAGCAGCCGTGACGAGCAGCTGCAGGAGGCCTGGGACTATGTGCAGGCACAGGTGAGGAGGTGTGGCAGTGACGCATGATGGCACTTCTGCAGTCTGGTGTCTGGATGTCTGCAGTCAGGTTGTGTGGTATTGCCCTTGGGGACAGGGCATGGGTGCTCCTGGCCCCTGAGCACAGCTTTGAAGACGGTTCCCAGCTCACAGCGCTGACTCTTGTTTGGTGGCCCTGGAAAGGTGGCCCCTTTCTGGTGCCAGAGAACAGCTGAGGCCCATCTCTGTGTGCTCACTGGGGCAGAGCCTGGTGGCACCCATCCCTGGAGGCTCCACCCTCTCTGTCAGAACTCTTGAAAGCTGGGGAACAGCCTGGAGCCCAGCTTCTCCACACGTGCTTGGAGCGCCCCCTTCTGGCTGCTGCAGATCTGAGCTTGGACACAGGAGATGGCCCAGAAGACACAAGTTCTGCCCTCCCACCCCTACTTGATTGCCAAGGGACCCATCTTTATCTTCCATTCCAGAAAGGTGTTCTGCCTTCTGGATAGAGAAGTTTTTTCTTTTAAGCAGGGGAATTGAGCCTGTCTTTTTCCACTTTGGTGACCAGGAAGCCCCACATCAGATTTCAGCTGCTGGTGGGTAGCCCTGGCCTTGACAGGGCTGTCACTGGGCTCTCTGGATCCATCTGGGCACATTGCATTACCCGATTAGGACCTTAGTTTCCATTCTTCATCTGTGGAAACCTCAGCTTAGCGTGAAGAGGCAGGACTGGGGTTTGAACCCAGTACATGACCCCAGACCCCCATGCTCAGTTTGCCTCCTGCCAGCCTCGAATCCCAAACACCTGCTCTTTCACTGAGACTCTGCTCCTCCACTCTCTATGCATATGCTAACTGCTTCTGATTCTGGCTCTCTGCTGTCTTTGTAGCTTTGCTGTTTCTTAAAAGCCTCTTTGAATTCCTTCTTGATGCACAGCACTGAAGTTCAGGCCATGGGCTCTGTGCATCTCCACCATCCGAGGGGGCGCAGACATGGCCAGTGTGAGTGCCCACCTGAAGGTGGTCTGCTTGGGATGGGCTGAGTGGCCGATCAAGCAGCCTGTCTGCCCTTCCCCCTCCCCCCTTGCCGCACAGGTGCAGTGCTGTGGCTGGGTGAGTGTCTATAACTGGGTAAACAACTCAGAGCTCAAGGACTTCACGGTGACCACCTACCCCTGCTCCTGTGAGAACATGACAGAAGAGGACAACCAGAACATTGTGAAGAAGGGATTCTGTGAGGTCAACGGCAGCAGCACCCAGAGCACAAACCGCCCCGAAGATTGGCCTGTGTATACTAAGGTGTGTGTGGGCTGGCAGTCAGGAGCTGGGCTCTTTCCTCTTGAGAGGGGCAAGTGTTCCAGCCACTGGGCTTGCCTGGGCTGTCCCTCAGGCCTCCTTCCCTCGATACACCCCTCCTTCCAGTCATGGGCTCACACGTCATCTGCAGGTGCACGAGGGAGTCTGCTCTCGAGACAGGGAGCCTGGGCAGGCCCCCTGCAGCTGTGCCTGGTGGCTGATGTGCAGTCTCTCCACAGGGGTGCATGGAGAAGGTGCAGGCATGGCTGCAGGAGAACCTCGGCATCCTCCTGGGCGTGTGCTCCGCTGTCGCTGTCGTTGAGGTCTGTCCCAACTCTCCCCCATTGTCCCTGCATTGCTGTGATCCTATGGAGTGAGTGGTCCACGGGCCTCGAGAGGGCCCCTGGCCTCCCATCTGGCTGTGTGACATAGGGCACTGCCCCTCTCGGGGCCTCCTTCAGCAGCCTGCCTATCTGCCTCAGGGTGGTTGTAACTGGAGCCCAGTGTGGAGCTGGACGGTAGGGTTCGGGGACCTGGGCTGGCCATCCTGACTTTCATTTGTCCTTCACAGCTGCTCGGGTTGCTCCTGTCCATCTGTCTGTGCCGGCACATCCATTCTGAAGACTACAGCAAGGTCCCCAAGTACTGAGGCTGCTGACATCCCCACTGTCCTGGTCTCTCCACCCTCAACCTCCCATGAGCCTCTCTGGCTCTTTCCCCTATGGCCTGTGTTCCTTCCACCACTAAGGCCTCTGGCCCATGCTAGGCAGGTTGTACTGGGAACTTTCTGGGCCTGGACCCTTCTCCCTGCCTCTCTGCCGCCAATATGGGGCCCTGGCTATTCTGTGGCTCTTCCTGTTATTGCTTGGGGTCTTTTTAACAGTTTGAAATGGCTCCCAGTATTACTGTACACAGAATGGCTGGGTTCCTACCCTGAAGTCATATTGTATTAAAAATCAGGGAGGGTGGTTGCGGCACCCATGGCTGCCCAGGGACAGGCTACAGGAAAGGTTTATGGATTATTTTTCCCACTGTGACACTTTCTTTGTGGGTTTTCCATGTTTCCGTGGGAGACAGAGAGGATATTCAGTCCTTTCCCACACTTGAAATAACCCTCTCTCCCCAAGCTCAGCTAAGCAGAAGTTGGATCACTGCCCCAGGCAGCCTCTAGTGAGCTCTTCTTTGGTGAGGGACCCGACTGCTTAGGTCCCTAAGCAGGTCTGGCACGGGACCCTGAGTTGTCTGTGGACAGGAGAAGGGGGATCTGGACTGGTGTTTCTTGGCAGCTGTTCCCTGTCCCCTGGGCTAAGGGTGGGTGAGGCTGTGCCTTGCAGGGTGGGAGAGGGGTTCCATATGCTCATCTCTGAAATGAACTATTAAAGGTGGGTTTATAACGATCCAGTCTGAGGAGGTGAAATCCTAAACTATGGGGTGAGAGGATGTGGTGGTGATGGGAGAGAGACATTTGCATGATAAGCAAGGCAAGTAGGATGTGCAGATTTGGGGCTGTTTGAAATGAACACTCAGCCTGGACAAACTCAGAGCCAAATGACTCCATGAGGAAGCACCCACAGGGAGGGATGGCCAGGTGGGCACTTCTCCCATTCACCTGCAGGGCCTGGAGGACAAGAAAGGCTAGGCTGCAGGGGAGGGAGCCTTGCCTCCTGGTGAGCTACTCTCTAGGCTGTGAGGGGGGGATGCTTCAGCAGTGCCCACCAGGCGGCGCTGCTGCCTCATTTTAGGAGCTCAGGGACCCAAAGGTTCCTAGTACCACAGGCACAGGGCCTGCCCTAAGTCTGGGATTCTCTCAGCCTGTGGGGACACTTAGGACAGTGAAAACTCCAGAGCACAGGAGTGGGGATGGAGCTGTGGAGCTGGAGGGGACATGGCATCTACATTCTTGCAAACCAGGAAGTGGTTCCTGAGTTGAGTTGACTTAGAGTGACAGGATCTGGTGAGACTGAGCCATGGTGTGAACCAAAGAGAAAAGAGTGTCCAGGATTCAACCAGAGAGTCTAGTCCTGACATAGATAGGGTCAAAGAACTTTCTGTGGTCTGAGTCTGTCTCTGTCCGTGGAAACTCACTGCCAGGCCCACCATGGGATCCTGACTCTGGCTAGGATTAGGAAGCCTGGGTTCCCTGAAGACTTTCTTTCTGTCTCTCTTTCTCTGTCTGTGTCTATGTCTCTCTCTTTGAAGGCAGGGGTTTAGCCAGGCAGTGTGGGGCCTGTCTGGGATCTGGAGTGTGTACTTACCATGTTGCAGAGCTGGGATCTCTGAATAATGCTGGACCATTTTTTTTCCATTGATGACCTTCTTTGTTCTAGAAAGTATCATATTAAAATAGAAAGCTGGGCACAATGGTGCACCTTTAATCCCAGCACTCAGAAGGCAGAGGCAAGAGATTCTCTATGAGTCTGAAACCAGTCTGGTCTATGTAGCAAGTTCCAAGACAGCCAGGGCTACATAGTGAGACTCTGTCAAAACAACAGCAGAAAACCCACGACCAAACCATAAAACATTACAAGAAAAATACATCTTTGAGGAACTGTGGGCTGGGGTGAAATAAACAACCCAGTGGCCCCATTAGGCAGAAAATGCATTCAGCATGCCTACACCTCTCTATACAGCTACATCCTCAGCAGACATCACTAATCAATCACTGATCCTATTTTTCAGCCTAGGCGCTCTCTGGACATACTTAAAGGCCTCCCTCACTCATTGTGGCCTTCGATTTCTCAGCACTATCAATCAATCTTTTGGAACTCAGAGTGAAAACAGTTGCCATCCTTAAGCTTTTACGGTCATGACAAAACACGAAGTTCTACTTTGAGCTTCCTGGTGGAAAGCGAAAGGAGAAGCTTTCTTGGGTTTAGAGGTTCCCCTTCCTGTCCCTGTTCTTAGTGCTAGGGAAGGTGTGACTACCTGGATTCTAGACCTCCTCGCCAACATGACAGCTTTCCTGTCATGGGGGTTGTGAACCCCTCGGTGTGCCCAGCTGTGTGCTACCCACAAGCACCAGGCACAGACGCTGTGCTATTTGCCAAGGATGATCTGGGAAGGCCAGTGGCTGATGCAGCGGCATCCCAATTTCACTCAGAAGTTAGTATGGAAATAGCATGTGCCAGGAGCCCTGTTTCACAGATACTGAAGAGCGTGAAGTGAATGAGTTGAGCATACTGCCCTAGCTGGGGGGAGGTGAGGTGGGGCAGGGGCTTTTGATGGCTTTGCTGCATAGTAGAGTTAAACGGAGGACACCTAGCCTTTTCCCTTGTCACGGGTGAGAGAAGGCTAGTCAGGAGGTAGCGGGGGCCTATCTCCTGCTCACTGACCGTTCTGTAAGAGAGCAGGCAGGGCAGGATGGGGGTTCTCTACTCCAGTATAGTAGATATGTCAGGGGCCTGCATAAGATATTGGAGCTTGAGGGCCAAGCTTGTCTCAGGTCTGTGTAGGGCCTGGAAAGGTCTGGACCACCTAGAGGCCTTACCTCTGGGCCTGGGGGAGGTTGAAGGCAGTCCGTTCCTGCTTTGAGGAAGAGCCACTGCTTCTGGGACAAGAAGCTGACTGAACTCAGGGGAGGCTACAGGACCCTGGGTTCTTGGGGTCTCTCTTTTATGCTTGAAGGTTTGGATTGATTTAGCAAGGTGGTATGAGGCCCTCAGTGGGGTGTCTCTCCCCATTGGCAACCCCAGTCAGAGGATGTACCCATTTCTCTTGGCCCCACCCATCCTGCAGTGCCCCAGAATGAGCAGACCAGTCCAATCTGTGGCAAGTGGGATGTAGGAATGCTAGGTTCTGTGGGGGTGACTGGAAGGTGGCTGCCGGGTGGGCAGAGTATTCCTACCCTGCAGTTCTGCCAGTGGGGAGGAGGGAGTTCCAGGTAGGGGTCTATGCTAGGGTTCCCTTAGTCCCCTGGGGTTGGAAACATTATGTATGGTAGGTCTCTTGCTCCCTCCCCCCACCCCGTCTCTTCCCAGCCTCTTCTTGGCCTGAGTGTAGGTAGTGGACTGTCTAGGAAGCTGAGACATGCCCCCCTCCCACATGTACACATGAGCACAGGAAGGCAGCAGTCAGGTAGCAGGGCACTGAGAGCCAGAGTAGATGATAGTAGGCTCCACGCTGAAGAGCATAAAGGAACACGCCAAGGTCATGGGCTAGGGGTTCAGCCCGGGCTGACAGCTCTCACCTGCCTGCTTTACCTAAAACCTCCTGATTGGAGGGCACCAGCGCCAGGACTGCAGCCCACACTTCTGGCTTCAAAGGCCACCTGGGCCTCTGCCCCTGTCAGGGAAGGAGGTGACAGTTCAAGAGATGCCCTGGTGATTAGGTGACCGTATGTTCTGTATACACTCCTGCCTGCGCTCTAGGGGAATGCACTATAGAGGGCCCTGGAACTAAGAAAATAGGGGATCAGTGGGCTTGAGCAGATCCCAAAAAGACGTTGAGCCTGTCCCACCCACCTCATTCTATAGCTCTGCCTACCATTAAAAGAAAAAAAAAATCTGAGGGTTTCACTGAGCTGGGAAAACCCCAGGCTGTGTCATGCTGTCACGCCTTTCCTGTGTGAAATCCGGTCACTGTGACCTGTCATTGCAACTCTTCCCTACCCCCAAGTCATCCTTCCCTTCCAGGCCTGTGAAGCTCTGTCAGGAGGGACCTGGCCCCTAAATGCTGAGGTGCCCTATCCCAGGACCTGGGGCTTTGGCTCTCCACCCCCTCACTGGGCTGCTGAGCTCTCTGTGCTCCTGTAAGGCCTTCAGTGGCCGCCAGCGCCACCTCCAGGCTGCTGTCCCTCCTGCCGTGATCCAGGCTAGGGACATTCTGGGCAGAAGACTGGCACATGGACATGTTGGGCAGAGGGGAGAAGGGTGTTCTGGGTAGTACCCAGTAGTGCCTGGGCTGGGCGGGACTGTGCCTTCCAGCCCTGTGGAAGCCAGTGCAGGGCACTAGGGCGATGATAGCATAGATGATGAGTGGGAAGGAAGTCTTAATCTAGGACTGGATCTTGTAGATGGGTCGGAGGGAGATGCAGAGGCTGAGGGGCTGTGTTCGGGGAATTTCAAGCCGAGTACTGCAGATGCCCATCAATTCCCAGCCTGTTCCTAGTCTGGAGGTCCTTCAGGCAGTCGCTTCCATAGAGTGATGACAGAAGGGTGTATGTGAGAGATAGGACCTGGGTCATCCAGTCACCACGGCATCTCCTGGCTATGGCTGGCACTCCTTTCTGCCTCAGGAGCATCTGGCTCTTCTTTAGGGGGTTTTCCAAACCTGTGGACTAACGTTAATTCACCCCATCAGTGCTCCCTGGAAACTAAGAGAATTTTGATCTCTTAGAACATAGCCTTGGAGCTAGCAAGATGGCACCACACATAGACATAATGGTTCCGAAGTGTGGTTCTCCACAGTCGGTGGCTTCTGGGAGGCTGTGGGTGAGGAGACGCAGTGATCTTTAGTGGGATGGCTGCTGATAATTTGACCATGCTCCAGTGAGTATATGGGCAACACAAATTTTACTTTTGTTGTTGTTGTTTTTGTTTATTTTTCTTCTTCTTCTTGGGGGGGGGGTGGCTCATATGGGTTTAGGAGCAGACCTGGGAGGACTGAGAAGTGAGTGTGACCTGGGTATGAATGTGAAATTCATGAATAATCAAAATATGTTGTGGGGGGAAAAAAAACCATTGGCTGCTCTTCCAGATGCACATGGTGGCTCAGGGGCCTTCTTCTTCTGGCCTCTGAGAATGCTGCACACATATGATGCAGAGACATACATCCAGGCAAGCCACACACAAAATAATAAAACAATTTTAAACAGCAGCACTGTGAGATGAGACTGGGACTGGGGTGTGACAGCATCTGCCTAGCATGTATGAAGCTCTGGGCACCATCTCAGTACTCCACAAATAAAAGAACACAGACGCAGAAGGCCATGCCCCCCTCCCCTGCCCACATGGCTGTGCTTTGGCCCACATAAGGGTCCTTATGTACACAGCTGGACATGGGCATGAGAACATATCCCAGCCTGAGACAGGCACACCCACCCTCATGAGCAAAGATACATCTCAGCATGCAACTGCCAACTGCTGTGAGCACAGGCTAGGCCAAGTGCACCATGGGATACCCCAGGGCATCCTGGGGAAGGAAACAGAAGAATGGAGCATGGCTACAAGCAGGAAGGGGAGAGCGCTAGTCACACCCCACTGAAATCAAGTCAGGTCAGAAGAGCCCCGTTCCCAGGGCTGACAGGATAAACGGCCTCATTTTATTTGAGTCTTGTAAAGAAAACAGAGCTGTAACCCAGTGTGACTGGGGAAGCACACAAGGTCCCACACACGCTTCTTGAGAACCCCACGAAAATGCCTCAGCTCCAGTGGCACACCATCTCCTGCAAGTGGCCCTC